ATCCAGCCACTTCTGAGAAATTGTCTGGGTTTGGAGTTACTCCCAGAACTCTGATTTAGCGGTTCCTAAGCTTACAGCATGTCTGAAAGGAACACAAATCTGTTTTGTATATACAAATAAATCCTCATATACTGCGTGCCATTGCCGGCCTGCCAGTTTCGTGTGGCTGATCCAGAAAATATAATTCAATAGCGCATTAGTTAACCTGCACACAGGAAATGGGGCGTTCTGGTTATTGAAATGTTCTTGTTGAGTGATTAACCTGAGGCTTGCAAAGTGCTGAGGCCCTCGGTTTTCCGCCTGGAGGCTGTGCCACTGCGTGCCTCCCTCCCAGCGACCACAGCTGCGCTGCTTCATACATCTGTATGTTAAAAACTTTATTCAACTTGCTCTACTCCTGAGGAAGCCTCATAAAAGATAAATAAACAGCGGTGTATCTGCTCATCTTAGAAAAGAGAATGGCTTAGAAGGAGAATTAAAATCTTCACATATTTTAACCTTCAAGAGTTCTTGAAAAGCCTTTTTTTTTTTTTTCCCAAAGACTCGAAAATATTTATTCATACACTTTATTCATAATAAATATAAGTGCTGGCCGTCAGCCATTTCTGCAAAAACTTTACCCTTATTAATTCATTTATCTCTCATAACCACCTTGTTATTAGGTATCACGATACTGTATTTGGGGTAAAGATGAGCAGTTGAAGCCCAGAGACTTAAGCGGCCACCAAACTCGGGGAAGCTGGGATGTGAATCCAGGCTGCTTGGCTCTGAGTGTCCACCTTTAAATCCACTCTAGATAATTTAGGTAACAGAAGAAACCTAGAGCTGAAATGATTTGCTTTTAGATTAACTGACTCTCGCTTCATACATTAAAAGCTAGAGAAGGGCTGGCCAAATAGCTGAGTGGACTAAAGCACCTGCTTAGGCAAAGCCCATCAGCTGGGGTTCGATCCCTGCACCACATGCTGTGCTGGCCCCACCCCGGGGTGCGCTGGGATGGCGACTGAGACTGGACTTGGTGGTGCGCGCCTGTAATCCCAGCACTTGGGAGCCTGAAAAGAGGAAGACCACTACGAGTCCAATCTGTGCAGTGAGACCCTGTAGACCCTGTACTGAATACATAAAAGAAAAAAATAAAAGAGAAGGAAAAGCTAGAGATTCAGGAGCTAAAACGTGATGTTGAAATACTACTGCCTCTAACCAAAAGCAGTTGTAAGATTTCTAGACCCAGACAGAGAGGTGTTAAGAGCCTAGAATAAATTATAAAACATAATTATAAATTATAATTATCCTGGAAAACTTAGGCTAATTATCTAAGAAAAATAATCTACCTTTTTATCTGGAACAGATAAATCATTTTTACATTCTGTGTTGATTATTGCTCTTAAAGGGACTTTTTTGACTCGGGCGTTTTGAATGAGCCAATGTAACAAAAGAAATAACTAGAATTTAATCTTGTCTGCATCATGCAGAATATACAACTTTTCTAAAACTGTGGAATATAAGATACTGAGAGGAAACCAGAGATTTTTTTTTAAATTTTTTTTTAAATTAAATTTATTTATTTGTGTGTGTGTGTGTGTGTGTGTGTGTGTGTGTGTGTGTGGCCAGCTCAGCCCACCAGGGGGCGGGGCTGGCTGGCATGTGGTGCTGGGGATTGAACCGCATTCCCTGTGCTTTGCTAAGCTTGTTCTAAGTAGCTGCTTTAGACCACTGAGCCATCTCACCAGCCCCAAAACCAGAGATTAAAGAGCTGCTACTGCTTAGCAGACCTTAGGCTTTCTTAGTTCCATAGGCAAAAACCCTAGAAGTGGTTTCTTCCTTTCCTGTTATTCCTAACACTTACTCTAGCGACTGTCCGTTCTGTCTCAGTGTGTCTGGAAGCTGTCCTCTTCCCCTGGACTGCCATCGCCTCTCACCTGGATTATGGAGCAGTCACTCAAATGAGTCTCTTAAAGCACAAATCAAGTCCTTTCACACACCTGCTTCAAACCTGTGCATGTACCTCTTCCATCTTGCCAGTGCCACCTTCCTCCCCTCCGGGCTCACCTCCCCACTCTCCCATCTTTGGCTGCTCTGCCCAGCTATACCAGCCTTCCTGCACATCCTCAGACACATGCAGGCACATCCTGCCTCACAGCTCCGCATGCGTGTATTCTTCTGTCTGTCTGGGTTTCTCTTCTCTCATCTCCTCACCTATGGATGGCCCCTTTTCTGCTTTTGTATCTCAGGTTACAGGTCTCCTCCCAGGGAGCCCTCCCTGACCACCATCCTAAACCCAAATCCAGGTTATCCCTCATCATTTTCTTCACAGTGCTTGTTGTGACTCAGAGGGATTATTGGTCAGTTTGGTTAGCAGGTAGCTAAGCAGTTGGTTTCATCTCTGTTCACTATCAGGGAGGTTCCCAAGGGCAAGAGCTTGGTCTTGGTCACCATTCTGTCTTGGTGTCTAGTACAGATCCCAGGGCAAGGAGTTTGTTTTAGATGATTAAACAAATAAATTTTCCTACCTGATAGGAGCCAATCATTTTTAGAAAATGACACTGAAGTAAATTGTCTAAAGTTACATTTAACAACATACTTTGTTTACAACTCTGCTAACAAAATTCCCTCAAGAGCAGCAAAATACTGGAGGAATAAATCTTAAATAGTTCACTATTTAAGAAGGTAGACTTACTCTTTTTTAAAAGTATACAGTATGTGAGAAAGATTTGGAGAATATAATGTAAATCTCAAATCTCACTTCTATCGATTACTAGCTGCCCAACCTTGACAAGCTGAAGCCTCTCTAAACCTCTGCTTCCTCTTCCGTAAATGGATTTATGTACCATTCATAATGCTTACTTTGCTGCCTGCAGTGGTGGCCTAAGGATGAAATGCATGAATTCTTCATCTTATTTTTCCTGTGAGGACTAAGAGTATCAGTGATGTACCCCGAGGGTGGGGGGCACAGGCACATGGGCTGCCATGGAAACGTCTCCTCCTTTCTGCTTGCTGACCTCATTCTTTTTCCCTGGTGTTTGGGCGTAGCTAGTGTCCATAATATGATACCTGCATTTGGATATGCCATGGAAGGTTCAGAGAGAGCTGAGGCTACTACAAGCGCTCCCACCAATCAGTGAATAAACTATACAACATATTCCAGCCAAGAACCGAACTAGCTACCAGGTGGAGAAACATACCAGTATAAGGACGAGTTCTTAGCTACAAAAGTGGACATTTTAGTGGAAGAAGTGAAAATAACATGGATGACACCATGCAATACAACAAACACTGCCCAATTCATATTATTTTGTCTAGTGAAATTCTGTATCATTTATAACTAGGTATTTTAATATCATTCAAATATTAGGTATTTTAATATCATTTTTACTCTCTTCAAAAAATTAAAAAAATTAAAAATTGATAAGGGAGCCAGGGAGATAGCTCAGTAGAATAAGCATTTGCCTGGCCAGCGCAGGGTCCTGAGTTCAATCCTGGTTCTGCAATAAATAAATAAATAAATAAATAATAAAAAGTAAAAATAAAAATTGATGGAACTAGAAAAAAAATACAGCATGGACGAAACCATTATTTAAGACAAGAAAGCATAAGTACACAGGCCTGACTAAAAGCAAGGTTGGGCAGAAAATCAGTTATTCTCCTTCCTGTAATTGACGAACATGTTAAATGCTCAGAGAGGGTGTGTGTGACAAGATGAGGTTTAGAGATCTAGCTCTAGCCTCCTTTCTGCAGAAGGGAAAGCTTTACAGGCTTCAGGACCCCTGGGGAACCAAGAGCTGTCACCTACTGAAAGTCAGCCAGTCTGTGACCGTGCCAGTGCCCGAGAGGCCTCTAGTCCATTACACCCCACTCTCATGGGTGGGATGATACTGGAGGATCAATAATGTATTAGGCAACAACACGTCATTGGGGAGGGATTGAGGCTAATCAGAATTGATTCAGGCACCATTGTGATCCTCAACAAGCTCCCAGTATAGCAGGGAAATGTTCAAACACAGATCAATAAACATGCAAAATAGGTCACAAAACACAGGTGCTATAAGGAAGACCCAGCATGGTGCAGAAACACAAAAGAGCATAGCCTAGGAGACCACGAAGATTTTATAGGAAATTCACTTTAGATCCAGCGTCAGAGTGGAGTAGGATTAGCGACATACAGGAGAGGAAAGTGCAAATTATAGTTGCGAAATCCATACAGATGAAAGACTAATGGTGAGAAAGTGCTAGTGGTGAAATAGTAAGTGACAGCATGTAAGAGAGGTGAGGAGAGGGGAAGGAGAAAGACAATAGGTAAAAGGAGCCAGGGAGAGGCAAGGACAGTTTTGAAGGTTAAGTGACATGTTACTTTCAGATTACCAAACACTACAGTGGATACTGGACCCAAGAATTTATATAACTCATTTCATTTGTACTTCATACCAATTCATACATGGTTTTTGATCAACTTTGATTTAAAATGTAAATAAAAAGCAAAAAAGAAGTAGTACAAAAATCTATTTTCATTTTCAAATGTGCTTCCCACAATCTGGAAAATATTTTAAATTTTGGAGTAGGAAAAGTGGAGAAAATGAAGTCTACATTTTCATAGTTTTTCTTATTTATGAAAAATTATAAATAAATCCTAGTGAAGCTGAAATAGCTGAGCACTACTAAGTTCTTATATCAGAAAAAAATATAATGAAAATATTTCAAATAGGAAGAATTAATATCAAAAGAAAAAACTTTTCCCTAGTGACAGTTCGTTAAATTTTTATGGCTACTGTTATTGTTAGCAATAAGAGAAAAATTATACATTTTTGCATTTAAAATATTGCTTATATTATATTACACTTATGAATTTCCAAATTTATATCTTATTCTATTTTTATCTTGTAATTTAATAGTGCTTACATGCTTCATACAAGCTTAACAAAATTGACTATAATTGAGTTTTTAAAATACATTTTAATGGCCTAAAGGAACATAATTCTAACTGTTTTTTGCTCTTTTTCTGGCAGATGACATTTGACCCAGAAATCTTCTTCAATGTTTTACTGCCACCAATTATATTTCATGCAGGATATAGTCTAAAGAAGGTAAACATATAAAGACAATTTTCTTTTATTCTTATTATGTAGGGAATGTACCAGTACTAATGAAAACAGTTATTTTATAGACCTGCCTATTTGGCATACCTATCACTATCTGATGTAATAAAATTCAAACCTAACATAGTCAAAATTCTTCTGATCTTACTTTCTCCAACACTCAGGCCATTGGCAAAGTGCAGTTCTTTTATTTTTATTTTTATTTTTTGTATTTTAGGGAAGGGTCTACAGGGTGTTCAGAGTCTCACTACTAGATCAGACTCATAGTGATCCACCTGTTTATAGCTTCCCAAGAGCTGGGATTACAGGCGTGCGCCACCATGCCCAGTCTCAATTGCTGTCTCAGCACTGGCACGGCAGGCCTGGTGATCCAACCCCTGGACCCTGGGCCTGCTTACGGGTGCTTTAATCCATGAGCTATTTGGCCGGCCCTCAACATGTGGTTTTTGAACACTTGAAATGAGATTAGTCTGAATTAAAATGCTCTGCAAGTGTAAAATAAGAGTGAGATTTTAAAGAGTTGGCATCTTTACAAAAAGAGCCTAGACTGTCACAACAATGTTTTATATTAATTTCATGCAGAAGTGATATTTTGGATATATTGATTTAAACAAAAATTTATCAAAATTCATTCCATCTTTTAACATTTTGTTTTAATATGACTGCTAGAAAACTTTTAAATGACATGTGTGGCTTGCATTGTACTCCTCTTGGGAAATGTTGTTCTAGACAATAACTGAGTTTACTTATTAATTAACATTATGTTTATCCAGCGGGGTATAAACTCCAGAATGCTGCTGTTGTTGTGGAGAGAAGGCTCGGTTTTGCAGTTCTGCTCCCTTGCCTGGAGATACACAGGCATGGCCTGACCTTGCACACTGCACAGATTAAAAATTCATGTAAGAGTTTAAGTGGTGGCGCTCCGCATGCTGCAGAATGAGGCTCTGGCCTGCAGACCCCTGAGATGAGAAGCAAGTCTGCTGCTTTCCTGGTGCCCGCTCTGCTCCGGGGCTCCACTGGCCTCCCTTCTTTGACCTGGCCTCTCCAGGAGCCAGGCAGCTTCTGCATTACGGTCCTGATGTTTTTGCTGCACACTCCAGGCTCCTTCTTGCTATCAGACCTAACTAAGGAAATGGAGGGGAGTTTTCCTAGGCAAGCATTTGAAGAGATTTGGGAGGCTGGATATATTTAGGTCATCTTTTCTCATCCTCAGCCCCAATACAAGGCATCCTTTTGTTTTTTATTTCATTAATCATTCAGGTTTTCAAAACTTGGTTTCATGACATTCAGAAGACATGCAAAAGAGAAGCCAGTGATTTAATAAAAAAAAAAAGGCAACGTATGTCAAATTGTAGTTTTTAAAATGCTAATGATGTTACATGTACAACAAAACTTATTGAAAACTGTTTCCTCCGTCAATTGTCCCAGAGTCCTAGGTAGAGCTTGCCCCAGCCCCTCTCCTTCCTCTCAGGTCCACTTAATTGGGGCAGTTGTCATATTCCAGATGTGGTTTTTCTTTTTTGCTTTGTCCCTTGCAAGGAGATCACTTAGTCTCTATAGACACAGCAAGGTCAGAAAGGAGGCTCCAAAAACAGAATTGCCTAAATGGGGAAGAAAAATGATTGTTAACGTATGCAGTTATTTTTATTTCCTATTACACTAAGAAATGCTACTCTTATGAAATATTTCTTTTCTCTCCAGAGACACTTTTTTCAAAACTTAGGATCTATTTTAACATATGCCTTCTTGGGAACTGCCATCTCCTGTATCGTCATCGGGTAAGTGGCATTCAGAGCTCAAGGTGAAATTTTGGGTGTCTGGGGACCAGTGATCCGCAGGAGGGATCTCAAATTTCCTGTGCTCGTGCTGGCTGGGGCAGGTATCTATGGTACTTTTCAGTCTACCATATCTGGAATTTCTGTTTTGTTCCTTTGCTCTATTGCGGTGCTGAGGATCAAAACCTGGGCCATCTGAGTTCCGGGCGAACACTCTACCACTGAGCTCCACCCCAGGCTTAGCATTTCGCGTATTTACACATTCTGTCCAACTCAATCCTAAAGTTTACGTGTCTTCTCTGAAACAAAAGCTTCAAATAAAAAAAAAAAACCTATAATTGGATTATGGGATTTTCTGTGTGAAGTTTGGATTTCTTATTTAGGGAATGTGGATCACTTGATTAGAGTTGTATGAAGCATATTGTTATTTTTTTCCTTGAATAATGTATTGAATTGTTTTTCTCTTCACCTTTGTAAGACCCTATCTGTCTTTGACAGGAGTACGATGGTAACTATATGTCAAGGTTTTCTTTCTAGTGGGAAGTTTACAAGAGAGCAGCCTGCGACAGATATGTCCAGGTATCAGGAGAACTTTTAATGCTCGACAGCTTTTTGGTTGATACCCTGTAAAATGTGGATGTTTTCCTTCAATTTGTTTTATTATTTATGCTGCTGAGCCCTAAATCAAAATGTAGAGACTCTGAATTGTACCTTATGATAAAGCAACAGTGTGATCCAAAATGGTGAAGCCCGTCCAATTTATTTATAATCCTAAACAATACATTACCGTTCTACTACAGAAAGAAAGTCCCGGTGCAATGACGGGGATGGTGTAAATGTCTTCAACTGCCTGACATGGTTGACACTACGCTTGACTTTTACTGCTTAAGTGCTGGCACCCCCATGCCACAAAATTGGGCTCTGGCCTATAGGCTTATAGCTGTCACAGCCCTGAGCAAGAAATGGGTGCTAAAAACACACCCTGGTGACAACCCCAGTCTTTCTCTTACGGAGAGCTGAGTGGTGCCAGTGGAAGGCTGACGAGATGGCTCTTCTCAAACTGAAAGGAAGGGGATTCCGTACTAAAGGCTGTGCCACATAGTTGTTGAGTCAATACCGGAAGAACTTGACTACATAACCTGAAAGCATCTGGCATGATTAAGGCAGAGAATAAGTTAAAGATTTTAGTACCTGAAGGTAGAGGCTTACAAGAAATAAGGGAAGAATATTGGTAAGTCTAGTCATTTAATACAGGATATGGTAAGAAACAAAAATGTATTTCTATGCTGTTCATCTTAATTTATAACCTCAGCACATTTCAGTGAAAGATGCCTACTTAAATTCAGACCAAATGCACACTTTTGTAATTTGGTGATCCCTTTTAAATAAGATATACTGAACATTTAGGAAATTATATTTTTCTAAGAAATTAATGGTGGTGGAGCTGGGGAGATGGCTCAGTGGAATAAGTGCTTCCCTGGCAAGGACAAGGGCCTGAGTTCAATCCCCAGTTCCACCAAAAAAAAAAAAAATAATAATAATAATAATAATAATTAATAATAATGGTGGTAAGAAAAACCAAAGAAATTTATTGATTACTCTCAACCAAAGAAATTTATTGCTTACTCTTTCTATACCATGCCTTTAAAAAAATTTTTTTTTGGTGGAACCCAGGATTGAACTCAGGCCCTTGTGCTTGCCAGGCAAGCACTTATTTTACTGAGCCATCTCCCTGGCCAAAAAAGTTATTTAAATAGATTATTCTATTTAATCCTTAAAATAATACTATTAAGTAGATATTTATTAACCTCATTTAATAGATGAGACAATTGAATTATGGGAATAATAACCTAGTGGGAATTTACAAAGCTAAGATTAGTAACTAGTTTGATTCCAAAATCAAATTCAAATACAAAAAAGCTCATTGAATATTATCACTAAAATGTCAACATGCCAATCAATATTCACTCAAGTTTCAAACAATATACACATGTTTCTCTCTATCAGCCCCCCAGGAATTATCATACACATGAAAGACTTTCATTTGGGTATATTGTTGCTGTCTAGCATGGATCCTTGCTTTAGTAGAAATGAAAATTCAAACTTAAAGCACAAATCTACAGAAAAAGAAGCTTTAATTGGAAAGTCAGAAGGAAAATAAGAAAGCACTAGTTCATGTAGCTAGAAAGAGTGAACTCTGACATGGGATTAGCCTGCCTTGCGGGAGGTACATTTCAAGGATTAGCTGGTAGGCTGAGGTCAGGTTAATGATTTTCTCAGTCCTAGAGCTGTGGCTTTGGAGTCCGAATGGCTGGCAGATGTTTCTTTTCCCAGGGAAGCATTGTCTGTCTGTGGTGGTCTCAGTCATGTGTGGCTCAGCCTTTCCTGGAATCCAGGAAAAGGGATTATAGGCTTACGCCACCACGCAATATAACAATACCTCTTCTAGTAATAATGTTAGAGAAACCCTTTGACTTAGTATTTTTAAAGCATTAACTATGTATATTTAATATATATATTATGGCCGTGGTTGGAGGTGCCTGGACATAGCTGAATATCCGTGAAAAATCTCTTATTTTGGTGTCCTCAGTGTTAAAAGGAAATAAGACCACGTAAAGTCAGGGGCTAGCACCAGAGGCATTCCTCAAATAGTCAACATGTCTCTACAGAGCTGAGAGATTTGACTCAAGATGTACAGTAACAAAGGATACAGAATGAAGGTCCGGCTTTGTTCTACTTTTAGTTACCTTTTAGGCATCTGGAGGCCCAGTGAAGGATCATAGCAAAAATGGATTTTTTAAAAGTCCTTGACTGTCTCAGAAAATGACACAAATTATATGCTCAATGAGTGGCAGGTGAAGGCCCAGGTTCCTGCCCGTTCTCCATCCCTGTAGTGGTCCCTGACCATATCAGGACTGTGTCAGCACCCATACAAATTTCACATTTTTGAGGGGAAGAAGAGATGTCTGAGTTTATGCAGATATATTTGGTATGATATTAGCCAGAGCAAGGATTGAAGATACCCAAGTGAACTCTGGGAGAATGATTTCACAGGGTCCGTGAATCCTCAGAAGTCACCTCATGGAAAACAATGAGGCAGACTTTGTGTGCTGTTGAGTTCAGTGGTTGCATTTTGTGTGTGTGTGGGGGGGGGAGCAAGGGATTGGCTAAGGATCCATGCTGGGGAGTGGGTTCCACACAGCACTGTCAGAGGACATAAGACGGGGTCCTGGAGAGTCAGGGCCTGAAGGCCAGGAAGCCTCAGATGAGCACAGAATGAGAGAGGATGAGTATGTGGAATGTGAGGTGTGGCTCATTTTTAGTTTCTTCCCAGCCCTGAACTCTTTATTTGTATCCTCTCCTTTTGCTGTCAGTGCTGTTGTTATCCTCACGCGTACATCTGAGGATGCCGGGGCTAACACTTGTCCAAAGTTACACTGTACATAAATGCCAGCCTCACTGCAGAACATCTGTGATTGAATCCCTTTGTCCTTCTCCTAATATAATATGATTTCCTGTAGTATTTTAAAGCTAATAGCTATCTTTTCTTAAGGTTTCAATAACTTCAGATTCTTACATTTCTTTTTCTTCTTTTTAAAATGTATTTTGAAGAGAATGCAAAAGTAATAGATAAGATGTTTGAAACAATACACAATTAAAAAATAAAATGATAGGTATTCAACCATGGTTGTTAAATTGCACATTGCTGTCTTCAATGTACTTGCTCAGACTATAGATACTAGCATATAGAGTCAGTCAAAGCAAATTTTTAAGCATTAACTGCTACCTTTAAAAAACTGATAGAAATTAACAGTACAATCATCTTGACTGTCCTGTGTATGTACTTTCATGATTTTTCCCTTTCCTTTTTTTCTTATCTTGTTTCCATCCCCTCATCCCAATTGTTTATTCCTTATGCTCAGTTTCTTTCCTTTTTACTGTATCTATTGTACCTTTTTATTATTATTTTTGAATGTATTTGGTTATTGCAGGGTTTCACCATGCAGCTGGGACTTGTGGTGATGCTCCTGCTTTCAGCATCCCCAGCACTAGGATTACAGGTCTGTGCTCCCATCTCCTGACTCTGGCTGCTCAGCAGGCCCTGAGGGCAGGGCCAGCATGGCATGTGGTGCCAAGGTTTGAATTGCAGTCCCTGCACTTACCTAAGCTCGCCTAAGCAGGAAATTTAGATCACTGAGCATTCTCGCCAGCCCCCTATTGTACCTTTTAGATTTACAGTTTAGGTTAGATTTAGATTTAGATTTAGGTTAGCAATTATGAAAAATCCAAATATTTAAGAGTTAGTTTCCAGGCGTGGTAGTGGTACACACCGGTAATTCCAGCACTTGGTAGAATTGCTGTGAGTCCAAAGACAGCCTGGAAAACATGATGAGACCCTGCCCCCCCCCAAAAAAAAAGGCTGTGAAAATAATTTGAAAGAGAGAGACACCTGTCCTTTTCTTATTGGAAATAGTTGGAAAGGTGATTTGAATCCATTTTACATCTTTAGAATTATTGGACTCTTGGTAGCTGACTCAGGAAAACCTGGATCAATTAATTAATTTATTTAATAATTTTATTAAGAAACAGCAACGAGACAGTTTCAAAACCGATTAGTAGGACAGTTCTATAATTAATACATAGCATATTGCTGTATTCTTAGTGGTTATTGATAGTACAAGATGCAGACATGATATCTGGTCCACAAACACTATTAGAAGAAATCTTTCTATTCATTGAATTAATAGAAAGTAGCCATATATCTATCCTAACTATTTTGAATATACAGACACAAAATGGTCCTTCATTTGTATTCCCCTTTTTTTGCTTAGTTTTGTCAGAGAAAGTATCCCATTGTTATAGGGTGCATAAATTCAGCAAAATAATCCAATATAGCCCACTAGTCCATAATAGTAGTGGATTTTCTGTAGGACTGGCAATGTCAGAAGTTGCTGACTTGAGCCTTTTACAGCTCAGCATATTAATATGGCTTTACTTTTATA